TAGTTGAAAAATCAGTAGTAAGAATTTTATGTCTACAGAATTAATGGAGGGTTTATCCTGATATCCAAAGTTTGTTGTTTTTTTTTTAATAGACTAGCATAAGGAAAAGCATTTTTTTGTATGTGCTCATTGTTACTCTTAAATCTAGAAGTAGTTGCATTTCATTGCTACATTTAAACTAATTCCTAATTAATNCACATGGTAATTTTCATTGTCTTGGTAATCCTCATAAATCTAGTTTTTTGCTGGTCAGTTCAGCTGGTGACTAATTGTAAAATGTAGTTTGCGTTCTGAAAGTTACCATGTAAGGTTATGTATACCACAGTACTTTCCCAAGTGGCACAGTTACTGTGACTTCTATGTTTGTGGTATCCTAAATCATTGTAAAATCCAGTTCTCTATTTTGACACCATATATTTTCAGTTTTCAGTACAAATCCCCTGTAATGCCTGTCAGTCCGAAAATCCTGTTCCTCGTGTCCTGAGACCACTCAGGGGTGCTGTAGGGGTGAAGTGGTGGCCATAGGGGTGCTGGTCTCAGCAGCGCCCCTATCCCACCTCAGCCAGAGCAGTAACACAGACATGTGTCTGATTGTGTGAGGGTCCAGGGTAGAAGTCTCTTTAAGAAATGGACCTGTTAGTTTAAAAAAATACTTAAAACAACTACTGTAGATTTTTTTCCAAAAGTGTTTGTTGTATGTGAATTTTCACATTTAGTCCAAAAGAAAGCTATGAATAAATGTATATAACAGTCAGTATTTTTTTCTCCCCATCCATTAGTGTCTTGCCTAGAGGGACAGAAAGCTTGGGAGTATACTATAATGAGCCCACTTTGCTTTCCAAATATTCTAAGAAGGGATTTAACCAGGAAATGGCCGCTGCCCCTCCTCAGGATTGCTTTCGTTTCATAGCACTTAACCCAGGCACCATGTGCTCAGAGAAAACTGTTAGGGTACATTACTGTGTCGCGACCATATTAATTGGACTTCTGTGTATTGAGTACCATCTTTTCATAATAATACGTTTTCACCCCACTCTCCGCCCATCCCCAAGCCTGTGCACTCTCTTGAGGGTCTTGCAGTCTCCAGTGCAATTGAATTTCCTTGAACCACCTCATCAGTGTTCCCCACACTTCTCCAGCTGTAACACCTCGGGAAATACCAGTGAGACCTGGTAAAAGGGAAGTCAGGACCCATCCTTCTATTCTCATTGTTTCAAAGGCATCAGATATAAAATTTATTAAAAATAGCCTCAGATACTTTTTTTCTTTTGGTGAGTGATTAAAATATTTTAAGAATTCCAGTGATGCACATGCCGCGTACCATCCCATCTGAGAACCAACATGCCACGCTGGCCAGCCTGCTCTAACTGGCATGGCCGACAAGTGTGCTGTCCATTCAGATGCCAACGAACAACTTGGGCACAGGGCTTAGGTAGTTCCCCGGACATGTTACTGACAGCCCTTTCTTTATGATACTGTGCTGTCATTTACTGCCCCCGCTCTGATAGTAATCGTTTTATCACCTGTTAGTAGAGTCTGAGATAATGAGGCTTCATGACGCCATCAAACTCGGGAAAGGGCTTTCCTGACTCCCACTTTTACTTATTCAGGACTTAGCTGAGAGAGTTAAAGAGAGTTAATGTACCAAAGTTTTGCTACTTTTAATAAGCTATTTTTTATAAACTAAGAATCTTTTTACTCCATTTAAAAATGTACATCTGAATCTGGCTCTCCCTGACTGTTTTCAATCTACTGTTTCCAAAATGTATGATTGCCTAGAAGCAGCATTTCATGATTCCTGAGGTCAAGGTCATANAGCTTTGAAAACCCCAGAGGGCATCTCTTCCCAACATATGGCTGTTGCATCTACACTGGAAATCTGCTGTGTAGTGTAGCCACCGTCATGAACTGTCTTTGCTGGATCTCCTGGATAGCTTGCTGCAGCTTCTCCATCAGCACTTGCTGCTTCACTTGCACTTTTATGGAATGGAGACGGCTTCTTTCCTTAAGCCGCATGAGCCAACTTCTGCTAGCTTCACACTTTCCTTCTGCAGCTTCCTCACATCTCTCAGTCTTCATAGAATTGGAGAGCGAGATCGGGCCTTGCTCTGGATTAGGCTTTGGCTTAAGGGAATGTTGGGGCTGCTTTGATCTTCTATCCAGACCACTACAGCTTTCTCCAAATCAGCGATTAAGCGGGTTTGCTTTCTTACCATTCGTGTGTTCACTGAAGTAGCACTTTTAATTTCCTTCAAGAACTTTTCCTTTCATTCCCATCTTGGCTGTTTGGTACAAGAGGCCTGGCTGTTGTCCTGTCTCAGCTTTCAGCATGCCCTCCTCACTGAGCTCTTAATCGTCTCTAGCTTTTGGTTTCAAGTGACAGACGTGTGGCTCCTCCTCCTACTTGAACACTTCGAGGCCATCGCTGGGTTATCAGTTGCCTGATTTCAACATTGCTGGGTCTCAGGACCTAGGGAGGGCCGGGGACAGGGAGAGGGGTGAGGGAGCGGCTGGCCGGTGGAGCAGTCAGAACACACACATTTATCGACCAAGATTACCGTCTTATGTGGCTGCCGTTCATGGCACCCCAAAACAATTACAGTGGTAACATTAAAGGTCACTGATTACAGATCACGATAACAATATAATAGTAATGAAAAACTTCGAAATATTGCAAGAATTACCAAAATGTGACAGACATGAAGTGAGCAAATGCTGTTGGAAAAGGGCGCAGATAAACTTGCTTGACACAGGGTTGCCACAAAACTTCAATTTGTGAAAAAAAGCACAGTATCTGCGAAGCACAATAAAATGAGGCACACCTGTATACCACTAAGTTCTGTAAGTCATACACAGAAGCTGTATTCTAAGCTGAATCACATAGAAGCTCAGAAAATACTATGTTCTAGTTCAGAGAGTTTAAAAAATAGATGAGTATGGTTTAGGTGGAGCTGGCTTATGAAGTTTATTTTGAAGAGACTTTACTTAGTCCAGAGTTCAGTTGAAATACACCTGCCTATACACACAAGCACACAAACACCTTCATGGTAGGTTTCATTCTGCTGTGCCGCCTGGCTGTGCTTTGTTGAGTTTGCAGATGAGAAAACGACTTCACTGAGATGAATTTTCCCAGGACAGCCCAGACGTGGTAGAGTTGGGTTTGAACCTGAGCATGTGTCATTTCAAAAGCCTTGCTGTTGTACCAAAGGGAGGCTGGGGAAGCCATGCTTCTCTGAGACCCATCCTAAGCCAATGTCTTATTTGCCCCTCATACCGACAGCGTAGGACTGTAAGTGATTCCTAACTGGAGAGAGGAGAAGGCATCTTAGGCACAGGAGGCCTCGCAGTGGGTGGTGCGTGCTCCCTGGGTGTTCCCTCTTGCTCCCAGCCGCTGGCCTGCTAATCCCGTTAGGGAATTCCTGAGTCACCAGGCTGTGTTGACCTGTACAGGGAGCTAGTTACCCAGGCCTTAATAGGGACCCTTGCATTGCTGCTTTCTTTGAAATGAAGCCCTAGTGTCTTCTCTTAGAGGAAAACAAGGTGGCTGAGGGCGCGGCTGGCGCTCAGTGTCAGCACCATCCTCATCCTGGGCTCACCTCTGAACATGCTCCTTGCAGCAGCACATTTGAGTGGGACTTAGGGCTGCCTGTGCAGATCCTGGGTGGGCTCAGCTCTGAGAGAGCACATGGGTGGGGCATCGCAGCCCCGAGGGGTGATTGGACAGAAGACCAAGCCGGCAGCTTGTTGAGGGCCATCACTGCTCTGGGGACTTGCATGGACGTTGCCAGTACACAAGAGCAGACCCAAGGACCCGATGTTGAGACTGGGAAGGGAGCCCAGTGGGCTGGTGTTGTCTGCAGAGCTGTTGATGGCTCTTCTCTGCTGTCCGGTGGGTGGGAGGAGGCACCAGTGTTGTCATGGAGCTTGGAAATCAAGCTGTTCCAGAAGGCAGTCCCTCCTCCCAGCCAGCCAGCAAACAAACAAACATGCCTGGCTCATTCATCCTGTGATAGTGAGGTTAGGGAGTCCCTCAAAGAGCCTTCTGTTTCAGTCTCTTTGTTCTGACTAAGTGGTGTGAAGTGCAGAATTCACAAAGTTCTTGTTGAGCACATCCATGGAGCACTGGCACCATGCTGGCCTGCAGGATGAAAATGAGTCACCCTCCCAACCGCTGACCCAGGGAGCTCTCAGCTGGGGGAAGCTGGCATGAACGGCAGAGTCTAGAAGGTTAGGGGAGGACCGCCGAGCAAAGGGCTCGAGCAAAGGGCAGAGCCGTGAATTCTCTCCTGGGAATGAGCCCAGGGTGCATCCCAGGGAGGCAGATCCGAGCTGGTCCCTGAGAGATGAGTAGCGCTTTGCTAGGTGGAAAGTAAATGAGAGGCGGACACACGGGATGTCCAGTGCACACAAAGGGAGCGTGAGGCCCCTCCCGCACTCCTGCCACCTTTTTGTTCTACCCAGTCTCCTGGGTGCTTCTCGACCTTGGCTGCACATCAGAATCACCCAGGGAACTAACTAGCTGTAAAAATACCCAGATGCCAACCTCCTCCCAGAGGTTCTGAGGCCCCGGCTTGGCGGTGGAGTGCCCGGCTGTCCTGATGGGCAGCCCAGTGGAGAACCCATGAGATATACAGAGTACTGTTCGTGTGGGTCTGTCACCCTGCTGTCCTCAGAGATCTCATCCCAGAATCTGATGTAATGCCTGACTCATCATAAGACTAATAGCTGATTCTGCCTGATACTGTCTTTTGAGGGAAAACTTGACTCATATACCGGGGGTGTCAAAAAATGTATACAGATGACTTGTGTTCATCTTTTGTTATCGGTATATATTGAATATTATAATTTTAATACAGTTTTTTCCTTTCTTTCTTAAAATGTGTATACATTTTTGGCACCCTCTGTCCATTCACACACATAAGTATTTATGCCACCTTCTCACCGTTCAGACATAATCTGGAAGCACACAGTGTGAGGTCTAACTGTCGGTTTCCTCCCAGGTGTATGGATCCGGGTCACAGACCAGGGCCTTCCAGTATGTCAGGTAAGACCGCTGGGCCTGCTGCGGGCAGCCCGGCCTTCGCGGTGATTCCAGCAGGGCTGGTGCAGACCGAACAGGCAGTGCCTGTTGTACACAGTAATTGTCTTCACAACTCTAGCAATGCGGCTTGGTGAAAAGTGCATTTTAATTTTAAGATGCTAATCCTTTACTGCCACCTAGTGTTCGGTAGGTAAACTTGCCCAGCTTTGAGGTAACGGTGGTTTTAGTTCAGGCCAACTCAAGATTTGGCCTTAATCATCCATGAAACCTAGATTCCAAAATCAGACCCATTTTAAACACGGCTTTTGGGGGTGGATGAGATTGTCCTCATTAAGGCAAAGATAAGATAGC